GTAAGCAATTGTGCTTTGCTCAAGGTTCAGTTCAGGAAAGTTATATATCTTTACAACCTATTCTATCGCATTCTAAGTGACTATGGCCTTCATGGGTTCCTATAGGACTGTGTATTTTTGTTGTTGTTGTTGTTGTTGTTACAGATGTTTCTCCTTTTTCCCCCATTGACACCCTCCTTCCTCTCCCTCCCCACCCTATCCCCAGCATAGTTATTCATGTCCATTGGTTATGCATACATGCATATAAGTTTTGTGGTTTATCCCTGCCCCCCACCCCCTCTTCCAGGGATTGTCAGTCTGCACCCTACTGCCACATCTCTGGGACTACCCTGTTGCTTAGATTGTTATGTTATGTTCATTATATTGCACATATAAGGGAGATCATATGATATTTGTCTTTCTCTCCTTGGCTTAGGATAATACTTTCCAGGCCCCTCCATATTGTCTCAAAGGATAAGAGATCTTTCTTTCTTATAGCTGTATAGTACTCCATTGTGTATATGTACCACAGCTTTTTTATCCATTCGTCTACTAATGGACACTTGAGCTGTTTCCAGATCTTAGCTATTGCAAATAGAGCTGCTATGAACATGGGGGTACATACATTCTTTCTGATCGGTATTTCAAGCTTCTTAGGGTATATTCCTAGAAGTGGGATCACTGGGTAAAAGGGCAATCCAATTTTTAATTTTTTGAGGAAACCCCATATTGTTTTCCATAGTGGCTGCACCCGTCTGCATTCCCACCAGCAGTGTACTAGAGTCCCCTTTTCTCCACATCCTCGCCAACACTTGTTGTTTGATGATTTGTTGATGGCGGCCATTCTGACAGGTGTGAGGTGATACCTCATTGTTTTAATTTGGATTTCTCTGATGAGTAGCGATGTTGAGCATTTCTTCATATGTCTCTTAGCCATTTGTATGTCCTGTTTGGAGAGATGTCTATTTAGTTCCTCTGCCTGTTTTTTAATTGGGTTCTTTGTCTTCTTTTAGTTGAGTTGTATGAGCACTCTATATATATTGGAAATTAACCCCTTATTTGATATATCATTGGCAATTACGCTCTCCCATACAGTGGGTAGCCTTTCCATTTTCATGATTGTATCTTTTGCTGTGCAGAAGCTTTTGAGTTTGATGTAGTCTTATGTGTTCATTTTCTCCTTTGTTTCTGTTGCCTTAGGTGATGTGTAAGTGAAAATTCTGCTGCGTATGATGTCTGAAATTTTGTTGCCTACAGTTTCTTCTAGAATTTTTATGAATTCATGAGTCACATTTAAGTCTTTTATCCATTTTGAGTTTATTCTTGTGTAGGGTGCAAGTTGATGGTCTAGTTTCATTTTTTTTGCATGTAGCTGTCCAATTTCCCCAATACCATTTTTTAAAGAGGCTGTCTTTACTCCACTGTATGCTCTTGCCACCTTTGTCAAATATTAATTGAGCATATTGCCTTTGATCCATTTCTGGGTTATTTGTTCTGTTCCACTGATCTATATGCCTGTTCTTGTGCCAGTACCAGGCTGTTTTGATTACAGTGGCTTTGTAGTATAACCTGAAATCTGGTAATGTGATCCCTCCAACTTTGTTCTTCTTTTTCAGGATTGCTGTGGCTTTTCCAGGTCTTTTTTGGTTTAATATGAACTTTTGAAGTATTTGTTCTAGTTCTGTGAAATATGTCATTGGTATTTTGATGGGGATCGCATTGAATCTATAGATTGCTTTGGTTAATATGGACATTTTAATGATGTTAATTCTTCCAATCCATGAACAAAGTATGTGCTTCCACTTTTTTATATCTTCCTCTATTTCTTTTTTCAATGTCTTGTAGTTATCTGCAAATAGGTCCTTTACTTCTTTGGTTAAGTTTATTCCTAGGGATCTTAATTTTTTTGCTACACTGGTGAGTGGGATTGTTTTCTTAGTTTCTCTTTCTGTGAGTTTATCATTGGTGTATAAGAATGCCATCAAGTTTTTGACGTTAATTTTGTATCCTGCTACTTTGTCAAATTCATTTACTAAGTCTAGTAGATTTTTGATAGAGTCTTTAGGGTTTTCTATGTATAATATCATGTCATCTACAAATAATGACAGTTTCACTTCCTCCTTTCCAATTTGGATCCCTTTTATTTTTTCTTCCTTTCTGATTGCTCTGGCTAAGACTTCCTGTACTATGTTAAATAAGAGTGGTGAAAGTGGGCATCCCTGTCTTGTTCCTGCTCTTAAGGGAAATGCATTTAGTTTTTGCCCATTGAGTATGATGTTGTCTGTAGGTCTTTCATATATGGCCTTTATTATGTCAAGATATGATCCCTCTATTCCCAAATTGCTGAGCGTTTTTATCAGAAATAGGTGCTGGATTTTGTTGAATGATTTTTCAGCATCGATTGATATGATCATATGGTTTTTATCTTTCATTTTGTTTATGTGGTGTATCACATTTATTGATTTGCGAATATTGTACCAGCTTTACATCCCTGGGATGAATCCCACTTGGTCAGGGTGAATAATTTTTTAATGTATTGTTGGATTCACTTTGCTAATATTTTGTTAAGGATTTTGGCATCTATGTTCATCAGGGATATTGGCCTGTAGTTTTCTTTCTTTGTAGTGTCTTTTTCTGGTTTTGAAATTAGAATTATGCTGGCCTCATAAAACGAGTTTGGAAGTCTTCCTTCTTCTTGAATTTTTAGGAATAGTTTGAGGAAAATGGGTGTTAGTTCTTCTTTGAATATTTGGTAAAACTCCCCCATGAAGTAGTCCAGGCATGGGCTTTTGTTTGCTGGGAGAGTATTGATTACATCTTCAATTTCCTTAGTTGTTATTGATTAGTTTAAGTTTTCTATCTATTCCTGGTTTAGTTTTGGGAGACTATGTATCTCTAGAAATTTGTCCATTTCACTTAGATTGTTCAATTTGTTGGAGTATAATTGTTCATAGTATTTGTTAACGATCCTTTGTATTTCTGTGGTATCAGTTATTACTTCTCCTCTTTCATTTCTGATTTTGTGTATTTGGGTTATCTCTCTTTGTTTCTTGGTGAGTCTAGCTAAGGGTCCATCAATCTTGTTTATCTTTTTGAAAAACCAGCTCTTTGTTTCATTGATCCTTTGAATTGTTTCTTTTGGTCCTCATGTCATTTATTTCTGCTCTGATTTTTACTATTTCCTTTTTCTACTTGATCTAGGGTTTTCTTTTTGTTTGCTTTCTAGTTCTTTAAGTTGTGAGGTTAAGTAGTCAATTAGAAATTTTTCTTGTTTCTTGAGGTGAGCCTGGAGTACTATGAACTTCCGTCTCAGAACGGCTTTCACCGCATCCCACAGATAGATGTCCTTACTCATGCTGTTGAGCTTCCTCAAGATCATGGCTCTGAACTCTACCTCTGATAACTTGCTTAACTGAATTTCATTTATCTCCTTCAATAGAGTTCTCTTGTTCTTTTCATTTGGGATTTGTTTCTTTGTTTCACCATTTTGGCTATCTCAGTGGGTTTTGGAGCCTGCCAAATTTTCCCTGTGGGTGTTGGTGTTCTGCTGTTTGTTACTTCCTCTACTGGGTTTGGATGAGTGTGGGAGGGCCCACGTTAAACCCCACTGTCGAGTCTTACTTTCCTGGGTAGATTTGCAAGCCCAGGAAAGGTTTAGTTATCCTCTAGCTTTTTGCCTGGAGGCTATTAGTCTCGGTTACTCAGGGCCTTGGGATGTAGCCCTCAGGTGTACTGCCTAAGAGGATTTCCAGAGGGTGGGGCAGATGCTGGTTGTAAATGAGCCTCAATTTGAATTTCTTTGGCTCACCTGGGTGGGGTTGAATCTCTGAGAGAGGGGCTACTGTTTCTCCCTGCAGCAGCTCAGGGAAGGAGCAAGTTGGCCACTGTCCTTTCTGGCCGTGACTCAGCAAAACTCTGAGTGCCCTCCAAATCCCAAGTGTCCCCACAGAGTTCCAGTCCAGTCTGCCTTCCCTCTGCCAGAGCCCAAGGTGAGTGGCTGTAGCCAATCAAGTGCTCTGTCCCGGCCCTCTGCTCTGTGGAGCTGGCTTGGGATTTTAACCAGAGAGAGCTGCTCACAGCTAAGACCGCTGCTGTTCGTGGGCTTCCACCCTCTTGCACCTTCACAGATCCTACCAGTGTCCCTGATTATATGGTCCTCTCCTGCTGCTTTTCTGTTGTTTTTTCCTGATGATTTGTCTTTATTTTAGTTGTAATTCTCGTTTGGTCCTGGGAGATCATCTGTGTAGCTTCCATTCACTCTGACCCCCAGGACTGTGTATTCTTTCAATGTAAGTTTATAGTAATAAATAGAATAAAGCCAAAGAAAAGTTGCCATGGCCTTTTAGGCACCAAATGTTAATATTCACATGTCTGAGAAGCAGCAATATGGAGGCAACTTTCTGATATTTTATTCTGAATGGGACTATGGACACCGTAGAAAGGAAAGATGGACCCCTTTCTTCCTATATGCTACCCATCACTGGTCTGCGCTCAGGGATGATGAACCTAGATCTGCTGTGGTTCCCAAGCCCCTATTCAGCCTTCTTTCCACTCCTCCAAAACCTCAACGTCTCAGGCATGTTGGGATGGTTTTGAGAATCAGGTGCAGCTTCTGGGACCTCTGAAGTCTGGGCCAGGCCTGGTTCCTTCTGTTGTTTATAGGCTCTGAGCAGAAGCAGCTTCACTCTGACCATTGATGAGGTGCAAAGCTAATGTGTGACCAAGGAGAACTTTGTTCTCCCTCTGTCCGTGGAGGCCTTCCTATGCACAAAAGGAAGAGGCCCCAAACTGAGGGAGTCCTCCAAAGTGAGATCCTAGAGGTTATCTTACTTTTCCACTTAGAATATTCCCCAAACTATCTTAATAAGTTTTACAGTATTTCAATTCATTTCATTTATCTTCTTAAGATAAGATGGAAAAAAGTTTTTAAATTACCTCAAGGTCCTTTGCATCAACTAGATAAATGGTGAGGTCTGTGAGGTTAATACCTTACAGCATAATCTTTCTCTGGTGTCCAATAGGGCAACTGTGATCTGTTTAATGTCAACAGGATGACTACAGGTTTTCTGGAAGGAGTTATCGACTACTTTCAGAACAGAGATAAGAACCTGTGAAATATGCAAAAACTCTTTTCTAATTTAATAATTCACTGAACAAAATTTGTTAAAGTTTAGTTCCCCCATCTCAAACAAGTATTATCCAGTACCCCAAGGAGAGGGCAAGGTGGATGATGAATGAGGATTTAGTGATCAAATTTGGTGATTATCTGCTTACAAATCGTGTGGCAACCATCTGTAAGATTATTAAAAGAGGATGTTAATTATGTTTTGATTATGCTTTGGTTTCTGTCCCATCCATTCCACAAGCTCTTTACAAAGAATCTACTCCAAACCATACTAGAGTAATGGGAGATTCTCTGCTTCCACGCTGATATAAGCTGCCCTACCACTCACAGATTATTAGAATTACTATTTATTTATTTATTTGGTACTTGCCCATAGTGGGAACCGAACCCAGGACTCTCTGGTCCACAGGCCGATGCTCCAACCACTGAGCCAAACTGGCCAGGGCTGGAATTACCTTTTAAATGGACTGCCTTCTTCTGTCTTAGTCTCCCTACAGTCTATTCTCAACACAATGGTCTAAGTAATCCTGTTAAAATGTGAATCAGATCACAAAATTCCTCTCCCAAAACCCTGTCTCACCCAGAGTAAAAGCCCAAGTCTCCTGGTCTGCAGGGCCTTCCCTAATCTTCTCTCTGTCCAACAGCAATCTGACCTCACCCTACTCTCCCCAGCCATCCTACTCTCTTTGCTTGTTTCCTTCTTTCCTGTAGATTTTCTTATAGTCATCTCAATGAGCCTTTCCCTTACCACCTTGTATAGTATCACACCCCTCCAATGTTTTCTATTTCCCAGAAATACTTTTAAGCATGTGATATAATATTTGCTTTGCATATTCACCTTGTTTATTTTTATATCTTTCCTCTATCCCCAGTCCTCCACCCCCAGACATACACTCTTAACTTAAGCTCTAGAAAGACGCCGTTTTTGTTGGTTTTCTTCATGGCTTAATCTACAGGGCCTGTAACATATTTAATACTTGCTGAATGACTGGATGGTTTGAGGCATGAGTCAGCCACTTGGAGGCCATGTGCAGTATGAGCAAGCAGAGGAGGGCAGAGGAGAAGAGAACAGACATGGGTAGAGTGGGGAGAACAAGAGGCTGTGGACCCCTGAGGGACAGAAAGGGTAGCCTTGATCCTTGACTGAGGAACTACCCAGTTCCCAATCTGACTCCCATTAGGCCTCTGACAGGTCATTTGTTTCCTGTCCTTGTGGTGTCCACATATATCCATAGTATTACCCAGTCTTCTGTTACAACACCCTTTAACTGAAAGCAGCCTGGAAGGCAGAGAAGAGGAAAACAGCATTAGAAAAGAAATATGCAGGCCCGAGCAACCAAGGCCTCATGGGCCATGTAATTACTTGGCTCATGTGCTGTTTGAAATGAGACGCTAGCGGAGGGTTTCTTTGGTCAGAGGAGTGGCATGCTGGTTTTCATTTTAAGGAGCTCCCTCTGACTACTCTTAGTAGAGAACCGTTGTGGGAGGTGCATTAGCGAGGGTTCTCCAGAGAAACAGAATTAATAGGATATGTTTATATATCATGTATATCTATGTTTATATCTATATGTATATCTCTATATCTATCTATCATCTCTATCTATCTATCTATCTATCTATCTATCTATCTATCTATCTATCTATCTATCGAGAGATTTATTTTAAAGAATTGTCTCACACAATTATGGCAAGTCCAAAATCCATATTGCAAGCTACACCGCCTCACATCCATTAGGATGACTACTATACACACACACACACACACACATAAACAAAAAACAAAAACAGAAAATAACAAGTGTTGACAAGGATTGGAACCTTTGTGCTCTGCTATTAGGAATATAAAAAGGTACCATCCTATGAAAACTGCATCATAAGTATTTACAAAATTGAGGATTCTCAAAGGAAAGCATCCCTTTCTAATGTTAAAGGCTGATGTTTTGAATTTTCATAACACAGCCTGCTCTCTAACTTTCACCATCTTGCATGTTTGGTTCTGGGCTGCCCCACAATCCCCCTTCCTGGGTGAAGTCCCACCAAGTGCTGTCACCTCTCTAAGGTTCTCCTCAGTCTGTCCCCACACACTGTGTCATTCTGCCCATGTGACCTTGTAATATAATTCCCACATTTGTTCCCCTATCTGTGTCCATTAGGCTGTGCTCACTTGTAGGAAAGGATCTATACTGATTTTATGTGCCAGGGCCTGCTACCTGGAAAGTTCTCAGTACGTCTTGGTCAAATGATTGATTGATCCAATTAGATAAGGCTGACAATTCCTTGTTCTCAAAAATCAGATTCTCAATGAAGGGAAGGTGGATTCTACCCTGTACCTCCACACACAGAGGGGCATCTGGCAATGTTTGGGGACATTTTCTGGTTGTCACAACTAAGGTTGGGGGTTGCTACTGGTGTCTGGTGGGTAGATGCTAGAGATGCTATTAAATAGCTTACAGCTCAGAGAACAGTTCATCACAACAAAGAATTATCTGGCCCAAATGTCAACAGTGCTGAGGTTGAGAAACTCATAGATTAAAACAGAAAAACAAAGTCCTGAGATACATACCAAAAAAGCACTTCTATTATTTTTCTCATTCTGATTATTCCTAGGCTAGGGTGGGGTGGGTTCCTTCTCTAACAGCTGCAAAACTGAAATAGTTCCTAAAATCCAAGAGGCACTAGTCTATTACCCTTAGAATTGGGTTACATCTCCCCAAGTCCAAAGCTGAAAACAGCTCCTAATTTCTTGTCTTTCTACCCTTCCAAATTTCGTCAGGGATTTATAGAACATTTAACAGTAAATACACCATGACTAACTTCATACCCATTCTAGAAATATGGGGTGACTACTGCTGGTAATTTCTGTACCAATTCCCTCCAAATACACCAGTCTTCAAAATCTATTGACAAAAATGTCCCCAAGCTTTCTCCCATTCTCAACTAGAAAAATGGGACACAGAGAAAACATTCCTTGGATTCATCTCCCTCCCTGGCAAATACACAGAAACACTGAGTAAATATTTTAACAATATTTGTCAAGTTCAAAAACAAGAGGAAGCTCTAAATGCCAGAAATGAAGAGGGGCCCCTTGGTGCTGAGTGAAATTGGGGTTTCTTGGCCCAAGGAGTAAGGAAACCTGACATCAGGTTTTTATAAACTGGGGTATGTGGGAAAGGGGGACAAGAGCAGAGGTCATAGTCCCTGCACAAGTTGGGGGGATTAAATGGATTCCCTAGACAAGGTCAGGAGTTGGGGAAATCTTTGTCTATAGTGCAAGGACTTGGCTTAAAAGCAAGTGCCAATTCCTGTTATTGGTAGAAGAGTCAGCCTAGAAAATTGGAACTCCCACACTGCTCTGCACGCAGCTGGGTAACCAGACTTTTGCAGGAGAGAGAGAGAGAGAGAGAGAGAGAGAGAGAGAGAGAGAGAGAGAGAGACCTCTTAAGAGCCCGACAGAGGTGAGCTTAAAACTGAGCTACAGGGCTATTTCTACAACCCAGGTATGCATAGGACACAAAGAAGATAATTTCCACTGCAGATGAACTAAAAGCAAATAAGGAAATGCAATTTTCGCAGAGATAATCAACTGGTGCAAAAGTAGGAAAAATTATACCCAAAGAACTACAAATATTAGATTAATCTGAAAGTAATTTTAAAATAAATATGTTTAAAATGTTCATCAAGATGAGGTAGAAATATAATTTATTAGACAAAATGAGGCTTTTGGGGGGGGGGCAGAGAGATTTGTAAGATAACCAAATAGAGGATCTAATAATAACAATAATAATAATAATAATAAATGTTTTTAAATAGAATCTTGATGATGAGGAAAGCAGCAACTAGAAACTGTTTAGGAACCACCAAAACAATGAACTACAATCATTGCTTTAACTGGATCACTAAGAAGTTACATGGGGTATAAACACTTAAAAATTTTTTAACTACTAAATAGGCTCTTTTGACACCCTCCTTTGCCATCAGGTAACTGATCTGTAAATACTTTTAGGGCAGCTTCTGTGACACTATCACTTACGGTTGTTGAAACGATCTCATTTTGATAGATCGCCTCCTCTTATCCATGGGGGACACATTCCAGGAATCCCAGTGGATGCACGAAACTGCGAATAATACCAAACCCTATAGATACTGCTTTCTTTCTATACACACATGCCTATAATAAAGTTAAATTTATAAATCAAGCACAATGAGATATTAACAACACCAACTAAAAATAAAGTAGAACAAGTTTAACAACATACTGTAATAAAAGTTATGTGAATGTGGTCTTTCTTTCTCTGATAACTGAGAGGACTACTAGATGACTGAGGGTGGGTTGCATCCAGGGTGGATATGCTGGAAAAGGATGATTCACCTCCCAGGCAGGATGAAGCTGGACAGCACAAAATTTCATCACGCTAATCAGAACAGTGCACAATTTAAAACTATGAATTGTTTATTTCTAGAATTTCCCATAGAATATTTCGGACCACAGTTGACCATGGGTAACTGAGACCACAACAGGGGAAACCATAAAGAAGAGGTACTACTGCATTGGAGATTAATCTTATCTATTTTAAAACTTCATTCCAATCTCAACTCTTCCCATCAGTTCTGGAATGAGAGTTAGTGAAGTCTGGTCTACACATTGTTTTCCTTTGTTTTCCGCCTTAGAACTTTCTTCTTCACCCTGCAGACTCTGGGCCAAACTCTTACCTACTTCTGGTGGCCTCTGCTGCTGGCTGTTGTGCTCACACATGGTACTCCTGGTCTTCCTGGTGGTCAGCCTCACTGCCACCTCTGCGTTGTGAACCCCTTCTCCAAGGGGCAGCTGCATCTCCCTTGGGACCCAGATACTCAGCCACTTTTCTACTGGGTTGGGCACACCACCATGTAACCCCGAGGCCACTAGGCAGCCCCAAAGCTCCTACCTCTCCACCATCCTTTGAGCTCCCTCATGTGGTCACAGGGATCCACCTCCACATCCTTCCAGGC